TATATATACACACATATATGATATATGTGCCCAATTAGACGAAATATGTAAGGGGCGTTTTAGGCATGTACATAGTTGCGCTTCATGCAAACTGGCGATAACCGTATTCCGAAGAACTTTCGATCTCTAGATAGTGACTTCATAGCGCGATCATAGACTCACGTGTATCATTTAGAGAAGAGTCCCCTTCTCCTCGCATATAGTAAGCCCTCGTTGTTGGTTATCATTATTATTCCAGAGTCGTTTGTACAGAGAGAGGTATATACGTTTCGTTGAAGATTGCGAGATACATCCGTGACAGGTGCCAATTTACGTAGCGAACGTCTAACGGTACTACTACTATCGTTGTTTGTTGCGCGTGTCCGAACAACGGACAACGCGAATTGTTACTTACGCGCGCTCTCACGACGGAATACAGGTGCGACGGCAGGTGATGCGCGCGTATCTTCGCGCGGGAACGACAGTCCGGGCCAGAAGTTCCCCGTCGTTCCTTTCCTTTCTGTTGCGAGTGAACGAACAACGAGATCTTATTGTATTTAGGATTCGCGTGTGCGTGTGACCGCGATAGGCAACAAATTATCAGATGTGTGTGTAACAGTGTCCAGTGCGCGCTATAATTGCCCTTGTTGTCTCTGATTTCATCCCGTTATTGAAATTGCGTCCCGCGCGATTGCATGCGCTCTGATATCGTTTGAGGAACCCGCTCTCCAGACTTCGTCATGAGAGAGAGAGAGAGAGAGAGAGAGAAAGAGAGAGGAGATCGTTCTTTGAAAAGCCGCGAAAAGAACGTCGCGTTCACACGAGCTTAATTTTTCCAGATTGCTTCCTGCAATTCGCACGTAATTCGCCTTTCGAGATTGCGGGATGTCTTGCGAGACGATCTCCCTCGTAGCTTCCGACGACCTCCGTTTGTCGAAGATACGAATTTCGGTTTCAGGCCGGCTGGCCTACTCCGTCACTTCCAACGACACCTGAGTCGAAATTTTCGTTCCACGTTAAGTCTTCATTGGGTCTTCCACATGGCAAAAAGTTTTGTATTAAATTTCGCACATTTCGCGTGTCCCAAACGGTCCGGTCAGATTTTCCTGTTAATTTAACACAAGGTGAATATGTTGAAAAGTCACGTAAAAAATGAACACGAACCTAATACGTTAATCGACGCTAAAATGTAAAGTGTGTCACTTTAACACGTGTCGAACAGGTACGTTAAATTAACGCACGGAAATGTTAAAATATGTTAGAAATTTAACACCAAAATTTCAACAAGGACTGATTTCAACAAACAAGTGCAAAATGTTTTTTTTTTTACTGTGCATTGCGCTTCCTTGATGTTAGAAGTTGTTCCCATTTCCTGCGCTTGAAGACTCAATACAGAACTGAGTATACTTAATGTAGAACCGAAATTTCGACCCGAGCAGTTTCGTCATCGTTACACTCTCATTGCGCAAATATAACGTAATGTAATGTCGCGCAAAAAACTGCGCCATGACGACATAACGATAAAGGCATTGCCGTGAAGTTACAAAGTTACAAAATACGTCTACTGGAAGCGGGATCCTCCGCTTTTTGCGAAAAGCTTGCCTCGTCGAAGCTTCCTCCTGAGTTTCCGCTCACGAACGGAGAACGTTTCGTAGACTGCGTGAACGTATGCACACGCGTGTGTGATGAACGAGTCCAGTACGTGCTGCGTGTCTTTTTTATATTTACCTCTAATGTCTTTTTTACATGTATATATATACATGACTTATATTACGATTATATTTTATACGTGTGTGATCTGTGCGCGCCGCACTCGATCGCACTCGTCTCGCCTCTCTCCGAGAGAGGAACGGCGCGGATCGCCGTTTGCGTACTTCTTGCTCCAGCTCTCGGTTCGCAAAAACGCAAACGTTTATCTCTCCGCTCTCCGCTCATTAAGCTATGCTTTCGCGCATTATCGACGACCAATTAATAAGAAGAAAAAAAAAGAGAAAATCGGACGGACGGACGGGAGAGGAAGGTGTAAGTCACGGCGGGAGGAGCAAGTGCTTTTTTCAGATGACGATCTTTCACAAATTTTGTATAAACTTATACTATACAATGATATATGTATACACTCTATCTTCCTAATATGATATAATTATATATATATATA